CCCCCCCCCCACACACACAAATGTCAATCAAACTATGACTGAAACAGGCGAAGTTGGCTGACTGGCTGGCTGACCCCTTTGGCGTCTTGAGGGTCAGAGATGCTCATGCTGCGGGTGAGCTTGGTTTCCTTCTCCTCGGGCAGCGATGCCACGAACTCTGCATGCAATGCAGCGGATATGTATCAGCCAGCCAATCAATCAATCAATGCATCGATGCGATGCGGTTCGGATGTGCGTATGTCCTTACGTAACGTACCTCTGTATTGCGCCTCGAGTTTTGCCTCCTTTTGGTTTTGGAACTCGACGACCATCTTCTCCTTGTCGACTTGCACCGGCAACGGCATCAGACCCATCGGCACTAGCGCCTGGTTCCATGATCAGATACACAGACAGACAGACAGACAGACAGGTAATAGCGATTTCCCTGTCATGTCTCCCTGCCGGCTGCGTGTCTGACCTGAAGCTTGTTGGCGCCAGTGCGCTGATGGCAGACAGAGACACGGATGCACACACACACATAGACATCAAGGCAAGGCCGTGTTATTGCGATTTTCTTCTCTCTCTCGATGTCGTTTGCTGAATCCATCCATCCATCCTGGGAGAGAGAGGCTCACGATTTTCCCGCTGACGTGGCCGATGAATGTCCTGAACGAAAGCAGAAGCGACCCCCCTTGTCCTCTCTCTCTCTCTCTCTCTGTCTGTCTGTCTTTGGTATGCATATGCACTCACAGCTCTTCCACACTGTAGTCGAACGACAGCAGCACGGCACCCAGCAAAATGATGATGAACCCTGCGCCCGCACCCATGAACGCAACACAGAGCGAAGCCACAGAAGAATGCCTGTCTCCCTCCCTCCCTCCCTTCCTCCCTGAGTGATTGACTGACTGACCGACAACGAAGAGGACCACTTGGTTAGGCCCGAAGCCGTCGATTTCGTGGAACTTTGCGAATCCGCCGAGAGTGCCGAAGACGCACCAGGAGATGTAGTAGCACGGCAGCACCACCGTCGACTCGCCCTGCATCATGCCCTGGTTGCAGTAGTGGATCTGACACCACACCACACCACAGCACAGCACGAGACACACATACACATACACATACACATACACATACAGACAGAGGGAACGCATTGCTGCCATGTGGCCATGGGTATGTGTGGTGTGTGTATGGGATGAGTGTGTGAGTGGGTGCCTGCAGTGTGGCGGAGAGGAAGACGACGACACACGCGAAGTAGAGGGCAGGGCCGTACAGCACAGACTGGTCACGGAAACTCAGCTGAGAGCCAATCAGGAATACATTCATTCACCGAAGACATTCATTGGTCAGGTTTTGTCGGTCTGGGTGCAGTCAGTGTAGTGTCACCTCGATGAGTGCCGCTGCCTGTTTGACCTCCAGCACCGTCTGGGAGCCCGTCATGCCCGCTATGAAGCCATACGCAAATCCTGCAGACATAAACACACGTTCTTCCCTCGTCCAGTCCATCCATCTATCCACTGCCCACATACACACACAGACAACTCACTCACCGAGCTGCCGTGGCCATCCCACTGTCTCCTCCTCCGCCTTGTCCTCCCCCTCTCCTTGCTCCTTGTGCTGTCCCCCCTCGCCCCTCTCCACATCAACTCCTGCTTCCCCGCCCTCCTGCATGACCTCCTGGTCTCGCGGGCGTGTCACGATGCCCGGCTGGGCGGGGTGGCCCTGGTGACTGACCAGGGGCTGCTGCTCCTCCGGCAGGTCGCCTTGCTGCTGCTGGTCGTACTGGGGGTCCTCCTGCACGCCCTCTGGCTCGAGGGCCAGGCGAGACACGTCCATCGGCTGATTCTCATCCACGGGGTGGAAGTTGCTCCGCTGGCTGATCGATGGATAGACAGACATGCCGAGGGAGAGAGACAAGGAGACTCAGCGGAGTGTGTGGGCGTGGCGTCGTCTGTCTCCCTCCCCAGGCTAGGCTACTGACCGCTGCGACGACGCCCGTTTGGGCACCGGGGCGAGCTGCACACCAGCACCGGTGTCGTCAGCCCTGGAGGGCTCCGCCTCTCCCGAGGGCGCCACTTTGGTGAGGGATGGATGGGGCACCCGAGGCCCCCCTGACACTGCCGCCTCAGCCGCAAAAGACGTTGACAGGTCGTCGCCATTGCCCCAAGGCGCACCACTCCTGCAACACACACAGAGACAGACACAGTCGGAACTCTCCCTTGCCTCATATATGTGCTGGCTGGCTTGTGCGTTATGTCAGCCATTCACTCATTACTCTTGGAAGTCGGCCGCTGCCGCAGCGGATTCTGCCGCAATGGCCTGTTGTTCAGAGTGCCTCTTGGTCTGCTCTTGTGCGAGTTTCTTCTCGAGTGTCTGGCTGTGGTGTGCCTCCACGTGGTTGGCCCAGACGAGACAGCCGAGGATGCCGGCGAAGAGGAGGATCATGTATGCCACGTACCAGGGGTCGGGCGTGCCAAAGAAGTCCGCACCCACCTGGAGAGAGATGTGAGATGTGAGATGTGAGATGTGGGACATGGCTTAGAGTGGTTGCTTCGTTCGTGATTACTTGTTCCTGAAGGCTTTTGTGTCGGTGGATAGAGGGGTTGACGGACGCGTAGGTGCAGGAGACCACACCCAGGACGATCAGCGTCGTGGACAGCCACTCCCGACTGCCCAACAGCTCCCCATGCATCACCTGGACCCACCCACCCCCAAACCCACACACAGATGTGTACTGTGCCGCCTCACTCATCTGACTGGCTGAGTGAGTAACTTACCGATCCGATGATGGCGGAGAAGAAGAGAGACACGCTGTTCATGGGGCTGAGGACGCTGGCGGGTGCGAAGGCGAGTGCGAGCATGTGGACCGCGTTGCCGCTGATGTAGATGATCATGCCCCACCACCACCTCCAGGGGATGCGGGGGATGTAGCCCACATGTCGGTCGAAGAAGGTGCCATCCCGGGGGATCATGGTGTTGAGCCCGGCGGCCTTCTGCAGGTGGCTCCCGAGGCAGCACATGGTGGCTCCAGTGACGGTCATGATGGCACCGCATATCAGCATCTGCACTGGCGTCATGTACTGCAGCACCGACAGCGAGGAAAGGAACTCAAGGAAGCTGTTCCACCAAGACGTCGGAAAGTCGTCGGGGTGGTGGTGGTGCCCGTGCTTGGCCGCTGCCTCGTTCAGGCAGAGGACCACGATGCCGCGCAACAGAGGAAGGGAGAGCATGTTGGACGCTCGCCGGAGGGCCATCATCACGATGGCCGCTTTGGGTGGCGCAGCCGCGCGATTGAAAGAGGTGACCATCTGCGTGAAGTGCAAAGAGGCTGTGGAGAGCGGTGTACCTGCACCATCCATCTGTCCTGCTGTACCTGTGATAGTCTCTCAGGGGAAGGGGGAACGGTCTTGCCAGGAACAAACACAATATTTCCCACTCCCCACTTCCGCCACGCACTTCCTCAGCCAACGACCACGCAGAACTGCAAAAGACGCCCCGATCGCCGTCTCGCTCAGCCCCCACTTGCCAGTGGCCCCCGTTGATCAAAAAGTGAGGCGCCCTCAAAGTCGCAAGCGCAAGAATGAGGAGTAACCGAAGCGCTGAGCGGCTGCAGCATCCCTTACTGTCGAGGAGTCATTGCTGTGCTCAGGCTGACCTCTTAAGTTGACGCTTGAAGGACAGGAGGATGAGAGTGAAGATCGAACAGCCCGGCACGCCGCTCCCGCGTATGGGCGGCAAGGGCAAGGGCGTGGGGAAGGGCGGCAGTAAGCACCAAGAAGAGAGCACGAATGCCACAAGAAACCGTATTTGCACTGGCTGATGCATGTCGATGATGTGGCCTGTGTGTTTGCCCCCCCCGCAGAGGTGACCAAGCGCCATGTGGTGCCGCGCAACTGCATCTCGGGCATCACCAAGCCGGCCATCCGCCGTATGCAACACTCCGCCACCAATAAACAACCAGAATACACCACAGTGTGCTCTGTGCGTCGTTTCATGCGTTGTGTGGCCATATATCCATGGTCAGGCCTGGCACGTCGCGGCGGGGTGAAGCGCATTAACGGGCTGGTGTACGAGGAGGTGCGCAACATACTCAAAGACTTCCTCCAGAAAGTCATCGGCGACGCCGTAAGCCAAGCCATGATGTCAGTTATCCGTGCATCCATCCATCCATTTGCACTGCACTGCACTGCACTCCACTTCACCTCTTCACGCACCCACCCTCCTCTGTGTTTCCTTCCTTCTGCTCAGGTGGTGTACACCGAGTACGGCAACCGCAAGACCGTGACGGCCGTGGACGTGCTCTACGCTCTGAAGCGCAGAGGCCGCACCATGTTCATGTGAAGCACACACTAACTTCAGACCACCCGCCCGGCCCATCCACCGGGGGGGGACAGACAGACAGACAGACAGACAGACAGAGAGGCAGGTAGACGGATAGATAGAAAGGGGCAGCGGTGATACATGGGTGAATGTACACGTGTGTTTGTGCGTGTACGTGGGTGTTGTGAGAAGAGGGGTCTGTGTGTTTTCTAAGGCGGCGCAGGGGCAGGCAGAGCAGACAGAAGCGAGACGGGGGGAAGAGTGTGGCTGGCTGGCTGGTATGGCTGGTACACCACACACACGCTCTTCTCACCACGGTAGCTCTCCACTGTCTGTCTGTCTTTCTGTTGGTCGTATGACTTGCCTTCTCTCTGTGCTGCCCGCCCGCCCGCCCGCCCGCCCGCCCTCTCTCTCTCCCTAGTTGCGTACACCTACCTACACAAAAAGACCGCCAACTCAGTGATGATACACACACACACCCCACACACCGCCCGCAGCACCGTGACGGCAGATCTCTATATAATGCATGTGTGCACACCCGTGTATACAGATCCGTACATACGTATGCTGATTGATGGTGTGTGTGTGTGGTCCTATACGACTGACTGTCTGTGGGAGAGGGAGTGCATGGCCATTGCAATGAGTGCAACTGAATGTTAACAATGTGTGGTCAAGAGATCACATTATACGTTGAGTTGTCTGACGAGAGGCATGCACCGTACCCCACCCTGTTCGTTGTCCATCACCCCAGGAGGACACATACAGACTCCTCTCTTCGGGTCACTCACTGGTTTTTGGGCTGCGGTGGGCGGATCCGCTGCTTCTCCGCCTCTGCCTCATCCACACGACCCATCGCCTTCAAACACGCCACCCTGCACACACCACACACATCCACAGACACACACACAGAGGGACATCGACACATGCAGACGGGCATATGTGTGAGTGTGAGTGTGTGTGTGTGAGTGTGTGTGTTGTCACCTTCTCATTCTGCATGCGGCCTCCATCTGCTGCAGCTTGCCCTGGGTGACGTCGCCCCCCACCGCATCCATGAAGGCCTCTCTGTCCACGGCCAGACTGGCCTGCAGATCACTCAGCAACTCCAGGCCCTGCAATGAATGCATGCATTGCAAGGCATATATCTCCCATATATCATATCTCGTCTCTAGGCTCTAGGCTCTCTGAGCCGCCTGCCCTGCCTGTATGCCCACCACGTCCGTGTGCGCGATGACCTTCTCATGCTGGTCCATCTTCTGGCAGCAGAGTGCCGCATTAACCAGGGCCAGCGCCTCCTGGTACTTGACCGCCACCATCTCATGGGACCACTCGCCCCCCGCTCCCGGCCGTCCCCTCCTGGCCACGTTGACGGCATGCTGCAGCACCTCCAGAGCAACCGCATAGTCGGGCGAGTCCTTTTGCAGCATCGAGCGGCCCGTGCTGACCAGACTGGCCACCTGCGCGGCCACCGACTGCTCGCCCTCCTCTCTCTCTGCTGCCTCGTCGGCTTGTTCGTCATGGTGGCTGTCTGGCGATGGCTGGGTGGTGTCGTGTGGACGGCTGTCGTCGTGGTGCGTGTTGGGCGGGAGAGGGGGTGGTGGGAGCCGTGCGGCCTCGTCATCGGGCGAGAGGCGGCACAGAGCTTCTAGGGCGGCAGCATGGGTGCGATCCAGCTGTAGACAAGCCTGCAGAAACATCACACGCACCACATGCACTCCCTCCCTCTATCCCTCCCTCCCTCCCTCCCTCCCTGTCCTCTCCTCTCTCACTGACTTTGCAGTGGTGTATGGCTTTGTCGATGCGTCCCGTCTGCTCCAGGATGGTGGCCAGACGCATGTGCAGCTTGGTCATGACGCGGCGCCGGGCCCTCTCCACCACATGGCCCGACACCAGCCGACACCCACACACCTCTCCCCCTCCCCTCCCAATGACCGGGCCTGACGGGCTGCATGCTTCTAAACCACCATCCAGCGCCTCGGGAAGAGGCTCGTCACCCGCCGATGTTGTGCACTGAGGGGATGGGTGCCGCTGGGGGTGGTGTGTGGTGGGCAGGGGCCACTTCTCGAGTGTGTGCAGCGCATTCTCGCCATCTGATGGACAGACAAATGGATGGATGGATGGACGGATGGATGGATGGAATGATGGGTGACGCACTCGCTCACTCACTCAGCCACCTGCGAGGCCCTGGTCAGTGTCGCCCATCTGCATGTGCGCCTGGCACCGGTTGGAGAGGATGACGGGGTGGCCTTGGACGTGCCCCAGGGCCTCGCCGTAGAGATCCACACTCCGACGCGCCAGTGCATGGGCAGAAGTGGAGGAGGAGGAGGTGCTCTGACGAAGCGCCGAGTCAGCCGCGGCCTTGAAGGGCAGCGCTTTCAGCGACCTGATCAAGAAACAGAAGGCTGTCACTTGCCAACCGGGTTGTCTCTCTCTCTCTCTCTCTGTGTGTGTGTGTGTGTGTGTGTGTATTCTGACGTACCTTTCGATGGTGTTGCGGTCTTCCTCTATCATCTGGTAATGGTCCTTGGTGAGGCCCCTCTCCACACACAGGGCCGCGTCATACTGCTCCAGACACCTGCACAGACTCACACACACAGGCAAACGTGATTTATTGCGGCAACCAGCACAAGGCAACACAGACCAGACAACCAACACCCCTCATGCATGTGGTGCATACTTTCGGAACTCGCCTATCCAGAGGAACACAGTGGCCACGCGCAGGTGCATCCGAGCACGCAGCACGGCGTCCTGACGGCAGAGCAGCCACACTAGTAGAGAGAGTAGATAATAGAGCCCATAGGGTCGGTCCTTTCTCGACCGCAATACCTGTGGTCGCGGTATGGGTGGTGGGTGTCCCTCAGGTGCTCTGCTGGCCAGATCAATCACCGAGATGGCAAACCTGGCGTCATCCAAACACTGCACACGGCCACACGGCCACATGGGCAGGCAGCCACACAGTGGTCATCTTGCGACGCGACCGACCGACAAACTGACTGACCGACCTGCTGCAGATTGCCCAGGTAGAGATGGCATAGCGACCGATTCGCAAAACACCTGCACGAAGGCATACAAGAACGGCAACACGCACACACCAAAGATACACAGCAGAGGAGGATACCCCCCGCCCTTCCCCTCCGTACGCCGCATTGCTGGCGATCTTGAGGGCCTCCGTGTATGCGTTGACCGCCGACTGGAAGTCCTCCGCCCGCAGGAAGCCATCCCCCTTCTCCTTGAGGAACATGGGGCTGCTCTCATCTTCATGGACGCCCCTCTCCCCCATGGCACCACCAGCACCGTGCTGCTGCTTGACCTGCTGCTTGGGCAGGGGCGGCGGGTGGCTCTCGCGGGCCGGCAGATTTGGGTGCGCCCGAGCGCTGAACGATAGCTTGACGCTGCCGCCTGCCCGCGGGGCGGCCTTGCCCTCCTTGGCCTCCCTGGCCACACCCTCTTCACTGTCCGCCTCGCATTCTTGATCTGTCACATCGACAATTTGGCACCTGCTGCTGGTGCAGTTGTTGGGGTGGCGGTCATGGTGAGATGATGGTGGTGGGATGGGGGCGTGGATGTCTTCAAGCGGCGGGGGAAGGTCATCGTCGTCAAAAATGCTGTCATCCGGGGCCTCGACGACTGACGGCAGCTCGGGGGCAACCTCAACCTCAAACTCAGACTCAGCATCGGCGCGAGAATCATGGTTTCCATTCTGCTGCTTCTGGTCAGCCGGTGGCCGCTCGGCTGACCCGTCGGCCACTTCCTCCAATGCTGGCGTGCCTCTAGAAGGGCCTGCACCCGCCCGCACACAATGTCACAGGCGAGAAATCGTGACAACAGACACTCAGTTCCTTCCCGCCCGCTCTCCCCTCCCTCCTTGCTGTAGGTCTACGTACCATTCTCCCGCAGTGTTGCGCCGAATATCCTATCGACAGCGTGTGCCTTCTCGGCGTCTTTTGTCTTGTCCATCCATTCCCTGGTCTCCCTGTCCAGGCGCCACTGCTCGTTCTGCGCTGCCCTCTCATGAGCCACCCGCGCCCCTGCCCTCCTCTCCATCCGCTCAGCCAACGACCTCTCCCTCTCCGCAATCGACGCCGCCCGCCGCGCCATGACCTCATCGCGACCTGTACTGCCCCACCCTCCCAACGGCAGTCGGATGCCGCCCCATGTGTGTCGCGAGTCAGGGGCCTTGACGAGCGACAGGTGGACCTTGCCGTTGCCGATGCGCACGAGGGTTTGTGGGTCGTCTGGGTCGATGTTGGCCGGCAGGTCGGCCTCGAAGAGGCGGGGCGGGCTGTTGACCTTGATGTAGCACCGCGATAGCAAGACGTCGACCGACGAGGGCTTCGCGCCGATGATGTCGAAGGTCAGCGAGAGCCGAGTGTCGGTCTCGGCGAACACCGGTGTCAGGCCGGTGGGCATTGTTCTGCTGCACAGACGTGCCCTGCCGTGCCGTGCCGTGCGCAAGGGTGAGCCGGGGGCTAAGGACAGTCAGGGGCACAATATATGACCTGAGCAGCACAGAGCAAACAGGAAGCGAAGCATGCATGTCAGAATGCATTCGGGAATGAGTGGCGTGCTTGTGGGATTGCTTCTCTTGCCTCCGGATTTGCCTCTCCCTCTTTCTGTCTGCTCTTCGCCTCCCTGGGGGATGCGAGCTATTTTGCGAGCTGCTTGTCGTGCGCTTTGTTCGCTGAGTGAGTATGAAGCGGGCGTCCTGCTGTTTGTTTGCGTGAGGTCGTGTGCGGTCCAGCTTGCTAGTGTGTCGAGATGAGCAGGAGATTATCTCGATGCAGGAGGGACTCGTCGTCGATAGCGTCGCCATACTGGCGCAGCCCGCCCGTATGAATGGTCTGAGGGCCTCGGCCTTCACCCTCTCTCCCCATGACTCCGATTCCACGCACTACCCCATTTGTGAGGTCTGGGCGGACAATCTCGGTCAGTCGCCGGCCACACACAGCACACCACACACTGGGGGGACAGACGACACACACAGGGACCCACAGACGAGACACAGGGGCACAACAGGCACTTCTGGGGTGTGTGGGATAAGATAGCTATCGGTGCTTGCTACTTACTGATTGTTGTCACTGCTGTTCTCTCTTGTGTCTGTGTGTGTGCGCTTATGGTGTGCAGAGCACGTCTTCAGGGAGATACAGCACGTCGTGGAGAACTACAAATATATCGCCATGGTGAGTGACAGGCACTGACGGACAGACAGACAGACAGGCAGTGATTGATTTGACAGCCAGGGATGGCAGGCAGGCAGGCAGGCAGCCGGTCGCTCGCTCGTGTGCTGATTAAGAGAGAGAGGAAGAGAGAGCGCTCTCGAGGGGCAGGCCTAGGCATAATGGACTCACTCGACGAGGGAGGGAGGCTCGTAGTGTCCATTATGCCAGACAGACACACAACACATAAACATTCACCCACACAGTCGCCCCGCCACTGGCTGATTGGATTGACAACACACCTCTCTCTTTCTGTGTGTGTGTGTGTGACGATATATGGCTGAAATGGTCGATATATCAGGACACCGAGTTCCCGGGCATCGTGGTGCGTCCGACGTCCGTGGGTCCGTCCCACCTGCAGGAGTACAACTACCAGACGGTCAAGGGCAACGTGGACCTCCTGAAGGTCATACAGCTGGGCATCACCTTCGCCGACTCGCACGGCAACCTACCACCCGGCACTGCCACATGGCAATTCAACTTCAAATTCGACCTGCAGTGAGCAGACAGACACACACACACACACTCTCTCTCTTGTGTCCGCATCTCTGTGTGTGGCGAATGAATATGATGATGTCTGTCTGTGTGTCTGTCTGTCTGTGTCTGCTTATTATTATCTATCTGCAGGAAGGACATGTACGCCCACGACAGCATCGAGTTCCTCAAGATGAGCGGCATCAACTTCGAGAAGCACCAGGAGAAGGGCATCGAGGTCGAGGACTTCGGCGAGCTCATCATGACGTCCGGCCTCGTCATGAACGAGGACGTCAAGTGGATCTCCTTCCACGGCTCCTACGACTTCGGCTACCTCCTCAAGCTGCTCACCTGCCAGGAGCTGCCCAACTCCGAGACCGAATTTTTTGACCTCCTGCACGACTACTTCCCCTCCCTCTACGACATCAAATTCCTCCTCCGCTCCGCCGAGAACATCCGCCTCAACTCGGGATCGTCCCTACAGAAAATCGCAGAGCACCTCGACGTACGCTCTCTCTCACACACACACAGAGGGAGAGACAGAGAGAGGGGGGGCGGGAGAGCCAGCTGCCCAGACCATCTCCCATTTCCTCCTTTGTCTGGTGTGCTTGATGTGACTGATGCGATGGTTGCAGGTTCGGCGTGTGGGTCCGCAGCACCAGGCCGGGTCGGACAGTCTGGTGACATGCCACACGTTTTTCAAGCTCATGGCCACCTACTTCGAGAATCAGATAGACGACTCCAAATACAGCGGCATCATCTATGGACTCGGCGCGGGACTCATCCAGGCCACAACGGGCGCACAGCCTGCCGGGGCGGCGGGGGCGGCGGGGGCGGGAGCCAGTAACCCTGGCGGTGTCGCAGGAGGGGTGGGTGGCGCACAGGCCGGGCCGGGTGCCTCGGGGCAGCCTCCGGGGGGCTTTGTCCCCGGAGGTCAGCCGGGGAGCAACCCGCCGAGCAGCAACCAGCTGACCTTCACTCCCCAGGTGCAGAACCCCCAGCACCAGCACCTTCGGAGCCTCAACGAGTCCCTCTCCAACGTCGGCACAAACGGCAGCTCGGGGGCCACTGCCCACACCCACCACGGCCACACACACCACCCCCACCAGCACCAGCACCACAACCAGGAGGGCGCCGTGGGCGTGACGGCTGACGACCAGGCCACGGGGGGCGCCACGAGTGCCACACCAGGCCAGGTCAACGGCTACAGCACTGCCGCTGCTGGTGGGTCGCCGGGTCCGCCGGAAGGGCTGGGTCCGGGCCACGCCGGCCACCCACCTGGGTCGCCGCAGCCCAACGGGCCACACCACGGCCTGACTGGAGGGGGTGCGTTTCATCATCCGGGGGTGGGTGTGGGGGTTGGTGTGGGTGTGGGTGCACATGGCCATGGGGGACACCACCAGCACCAGCACATGGCTGCAGTGGGGGGCGTGGGGGTGGGTTTGGGGGTGCCACACCATCCCGGCGGCTCATCGCAGCACGGGGGTCACCACCTGCCGCATGCTGGCGGCGGGGGCGGCCACGGGCAGTTTGACCAGCACCACATCCACAGACAACCGCAGAGATCGCCGTCACCCGACCAGGTCGCTCAGACACGGCCACACGCACGGAACCATATCATTGTGTGGACGCATTGCATTCTCTCTCTCTATTTCCTGTCTCGATGTGATCTGCAGGCGAGTATCTACGGTGCCAACCTAGGTGTGTATGCAGCAGCTGCTGCGGCCAACGGCCCGGCCATGGGCCACGGCGGCCACCACCACGGGCCCAACCCCCTACACCAGCACCAGCACCACACCCACTCCCACTCCCACTCCCACCACCTCAACGGTGCGTATGGGGGGCCTGTGGCCGCCGTCGGACTCGCAATGGGCGCGGCGGGTGCGGCTGCCGCTGCTGTTGGGGGTAAGGGGGGGATGGACGGGCCTTCGGCTGCCGACGGGCTGCCCTTCGGGCTCGGGGCGGCCGCACAGGCCCAGAAGTGATCTGTCTGTCGATGGTGGATGGATGGATGGATGTACTGGCTCACTCACTCACTGATTGACGGGGTACTTACGGGGTACTTATGTGGCACACTGATGTGTGTGTGAGTGAGGGTGCGTGTGTGAGCGACTGTTTGTCCTGTCTGTCTGGTTGTGTACGGGGTAGGCGGGCGGGGCGGGCTGGCGGGGTCTGGCGGGGTCTGGCTGGCGGGGTAATGCAATGCACGGCAAGTGAGTGGCTGCATGGCATGGATGAATGGATTCGTCTCCCTCCCCTCCTTCCTCTCCTTCTCACTCTCTCACTCTTTCACCCTCTCGCCTGCAAAGGTCAGGTCGGCTGGCCGGCCGATTCTGGCTTGTCACGTCACCTGTACCATATCCCATATCAGTCTGTATGCATGCCCACCAACCAACCAAACCAAACCAGGACCACCTTGCCCACCCCCTCTGTCAGACAGGCCTTACTGACTCACTCACTCACTCAGTCACTCACTCTCTTCTGTATTGTGCGTGTGGCTGTGTCTGTGTCTGTGTCTGTGTGGACGTGAGTGAATGTGTGTGTGTGATGTGTGATGTCACGATGGATGGATGATGCTAGACTGGCTTGCGCTGCGCCTCTTTCTCCCCCTCTCTCTCTGTGTGCCTCTCCCTCTCTCTGCTTCCGTCCACGCTCACACACACTGCTCACGCCCTTTTCGGACGGATGGCCGAATGGAATGATCTGGAGGAACGAACATACTCACTCCCCCTCTGGCTGAGAGGGAGAGAGAGAGGGACTGTGAGGGATGGCTGGCTGGCTGGCCGCAGTGATGTTCACGGCTGTGTGCGTGTGTGTGGGAGTTTGCGGAAGTAAGTTAAGTGACTGCTTAAGTGAATGGCTGAAGGAACGGACGAATGGCTGGGTGGCTCTCGCTCGGTTGCTGACTGTCTTTTTGGAAGCTGGGCCGCGGGTGGATGGATGGATGGATGGGAGCTCTTCGCCTGTCTGCACACGCCGCCTATCAATCACTGCACACATACACACACATACATTTTCTGTCTGTCTCTCTCGCTCTGTCTCTCTCTCTCTCTTGGCTTGCCCCACACACGATATGCTCACCCTGCCTCTCGATGTCAGTCTGCACACCACACCACACACAGGCGCGCAAGACACCAGCCAGACAGACAGACGGACGGAGGGGGCGACACGCAAACAAAACAAACAGCCGAGTGCATTCATTCACAATGAATGCACCCACCCAATACCAACCATTTGTGACGCTCTGTGTGACTGAGTGAGTCGGAGTGCAAGTGTGCTGCTGCGAGGGAGGGAGTCAGGGAGGAGGGGGGGGGACGGGCGCTGGGTGTGGTCTTCTGGCCTTCTCGTCTCGTTCTTATCCACATTCATCTGCTCATTCTACTCTGGCTGCTGGCTCCTGGCTGTGGATTTTCTCGTCTGTCTCCTCATTTCGACCATATCGACTGTTTGATGACCGTTGGATGAATGAATGAATGAGTGGATGGATCTCTCTCTCTCCCTCTCTCTCTCTGTGCGTATATATGTGTGTATGTGTGTATGTGTGTGTGTGTGACTCGCCATCGGGGTATGGGTGCCTGCAGGGTGCAGTGTGGGGGGTGGCGCGGATCTCCCCCCTCAGCTCAGCTCACCTCACCACCTCACTGACTTCCTTCTCGACTCAACTCTTGAGCCTTAACCTCGCCCGCTCCGATTATGTTCTGCCTACCGGGGCAAACTATCACAGCACAACACACACCACTGACCCGTGTGACCGGCAGGCAGGCAGGCAGGCAGACAGGAACACACAATAAAGGCAGATGGGGTCCACCGCACTCTCCGTCTCTCTCTCTCTCTCTCTCTCTCACACACACACACTCGCACTCTCGGGCTGTCCGTCTGTCTGGATGATGGTCTTGTGTGAGAGTGAGATGTGTGTGGCTCTGGATGGCTTGCGTATGTGTGTGTGTGTACCATATCCTCTCTCTATATTCTCTCTCTCTCTTACGTACGTGCCAATACGGCTGGATGGATGGACGGATGGATGCTCCCGTGTTGTGTTGTTTGTATGTAGAGTGGTAACTAACT